CACCTGAGGTCGGGAGTTCAAGACCAGCCTGCCCAACATGGAGAAACCCTGTCTCTACTAAAAATACAAAATTAGCCAGGCATGGTGGTGCGTGCCTGTAATCCCAGCTACCCAGGAGGCTGAGGCAGGATAATCAGTTGAACCCAGAAGGCAAAGGCTGCAGTGAGCCGAGATCGTGTCATTGCACTCCAGCCTGGGCAACAAGAGCAAAACTCTGTCTTAAAAAAAAAAAAAAAAAAAAAAGAGGTAATGGCCCTAGTCATTATGGATGCTATAAAACCAGGTATTAATAATGCTACTGCAGGGAAGGACAAAAAGTCTCTTGTGGTCTGAAATCTGCCTTCAAAATGGCTTCGGAGGAATTTATAATGATTGGCCCTAAACCCTGATGACCTCCTATTAGAGACCCTTGCAGGGCAGTGGCAGGAGCCAGGACCACCCACAAAGGATGCGGGCTCTCCATGAGGATGAATTTTTTGTTGGCCATAAGTTAGTGGAACAATCCCAGCATTTTACGGTAAGTTCATGGGGAAATAAGCAAAACCTATCAGTGAAGCATTATGGGCCTGACCTCCCATTGTCATCTTGGCCCAGAGCATCCTTCTAAATTCTGATTCTTTTGATTTGGTCTCAACACATAGACTTTAAACAGCTTCAACTTCACTGAATCAGATGATTCCTACCCAATTATAACCCCCTGCAAATCTGACAGCCAAACTTCATGACTCTCCCGATCCATAGGGTCCACCTGGCCTGCACTGACATCCATGTAACATTTCAGTGCTTTAGCCTCAGGGTCCTTGGCTCTCTCATGAGCCATGCTTTCTTCTTATCCACCCACTCCAGGCACATTCCAGTTGAGTGAGTGATAGACTTCCACTAATGATGAGATATGTTCTGGTGTTCATGTATGAAGTAGCTGCTTATGACTGTCCACTGCAGTCTGGGTTGATGTTGGCCCACCCAGTCCCTTGGATTTGGTCACAGGCTGCCCCACCTTTGGTGGTGACTGCCCCCAGCCAACCTGTTTTCTAAACTATCTTTGGCCTGCTTTATTAAAATAGGTCGATTATTTTTCAAAAATTTCATATATTCATAAATATGAAAACGTATCAGTAAATAGTAAAGTGACTACCTAATTTGTGGTAGACAGGATATGCTGTGACTGCAAAGGGCCCAGCCGAGGACTGAATCTGTGCCCAGCCCTGAAGCTAGCCAAATCACCTCGCTGTGTGCAGAGAGACCATGTACTGCCAAGCAATCGCTCCCCCAGGACCCTCAGGGATCAGGCTGGGTGCCAGGGCTCATGCCTGTAATCCTAGCACTTTACAAGGTCGAAGCAGTGGATCACCCAAGGTCAGGAGTTCGAGACCAGCCTGGCTAACAAGGTGAAACCCGGTCTCTACTAAAAATACAAACATGAGCTGGGAGTGGTGGTACGTTCCTATAATCCAGCTACTCAGGAGGTTGAGGCAGGGGAATCACTTGAACCTGGGAGGCAGAGGTGGCAGTGAGCCAAAATTGCACCACTGCACTCCAGCCTGGGCAACAGAGTGAGACTCTGTCTGTCTCAGAAAAAATGTACATGAGATATGCAAGAAAATGCTCCTTTTTATTTTCGTATTTAAGTGTGACAACCCAATCCAAAAACTCTATGCCAAAACAATAATAGAAATGTAATCTAGCAACTGTGGAGCACAGCAAATTGATGGCACTACACGAAAAACCTTCCAGAGGTTCCTCCTGAGTCTTCTGACTGCGTCCCGTTAGAAACCAGGACTTACGAGCAGGCGTACACTTTCCTGATGCCTTTGTGCTTGATCCGGTTGTGCCGGCACAGGCTGTGGGACGAGCTGAAAGACTTGTCACACTGGCGGCAGGGGTGTTTCTTCATTTGCTGGAGGAAGGAGAGAAAGTCACTTAAGAGAATGAAAACAGATGCATTCAAACAATTAAGAACTCTTTTGTAACAGTTTAAATCATTATTACAGGTCCCAAAATCCAAAACTGAGTGTTGACATGACACTACACGTGGAAAATGTCATGCCTGACCTCATGTGACGGGACACAGTCGGAACTGTCTCATGCACAAATTTAAAATTATTTTATAAAAGTACCTTCAAGCTATGTATATAAGGTATATATGAAACATGAACAAATATCACAATTAGAGTCCCAAGATATTATGTATATTTGAATATGCCGAGATCCAAAAACATCTAAAATTCAAAACACTTTCAGTTCAGGGATACTCAACCTGTATTTAGGAATACTGTAACAAAACCCAGAAAACTTTAAAAAAATATATAGTAAAAATAAAGTTGAGGACAAGGTTGAGGTAACCATGACGGGGCTAATTTTAGGAGGATGGGTTAAATTATCATAAGGGTAAAAAAAAAATTCTCAAAAACACAGGTTTTTGATTCAACACAAACATCCAGGTATTTGAAATAACATTATATAAATCTTTTACTGAAAATATATGAAAACGTATTAGTAAGTACTAAGTAAAGCCACCACCTAATTTGTAGTAGACGGAATATGCTGTTTTATTTAGTATGCCATGTTAAATGAAATCTCTGGCTACCCTTTAGTGACTAAGTAATTATTCATTATATAAGGCAAGTTTTCTAGAAGGATTTTTGGTTTAAATAATATCACTTGATCATCTCAAGAACAGATAACTTTGGAACAATTTTAAGGAGGCTGCCTGCTGGTATACTTAGCAGATGAGGCAGAGAGAGACAGCAAACGCTGTCAAGTAGGTAAGCTGAATTTTCTTGTATTTAAAAGTTTCCCACTCAGGCTGAGATATGTTAATTGAATGTATCTCCATGCAGAACCTTTGAGGTAAATTAGTGGCTTAACTTTAAAACAAATTCTTTGGTTATGACATGCATAGCAGTCTAGAACTAAACAATGTCATATCACAAGGAAATTAAAGAGCTGTCAAGCCTCATGAATGGAACAAAATCTGGCTCTAAACTCACTAAACACTGAAGTAGGAAGAAGTTTTCATGTGAGATAACATTAAGAAGTGATTGCAATCTACATGATAAAGAAATGATTACATTTTTTTGAGACTGAGTCTCATTCTGTTGCCTAGGCTGAAGTGCAGTGGCGTAATCTTGGCTCACTACAACCTCCGCCTCCTGGGTTCAAGGAACTCTCATGCCTCAGCCTCCCAAGTAGCTGGGGCTAAAAGCGCCCATCACCACGCCCGGCTAATTTTTGTATTTTTAGTAGACACCAGGTCTCACCATGTTGGCCGGGCTGGTCTCGAACTCCAGCCTGAAGTGATCCGCGGGCCTCAGCCTCCCAAAGTGCTGGGATTACAGGTGTGAGCCACTGTGCCCAGACTGACTACAATTTTCAAAGTCATTTTCTCATTAACTGCTTGACAAACATGTCCTCGTTCAAACCGGCAGGCAAATCGGAGTGGCTAACTGGCCAGCAGCACCTAAGATGAGCTGGCACCTGGTCTCTGCCTCATCAATCACAGGACCTGGGGAAAGCCACTCAACCTGCATGAATGTCCACTCCCACCCCTGTGAGGTGGGCTTGCAACAGTGCCTGCCTCCCAGGATGCTTCGAGAACACCGGGACAATTAACAAAGGGGACAGGCAGCGTGGGACACACCAGTCAGGAAATGTTCTTGTAATAGTCAAGTTATGCATCCAACTTCCACTTAAAAAGAGTAGAAAAATACTGCCTTTTAAATAAACCAAATCAGTCTGGTAGATATTCAAAAGCATCTTGAATCCAAAGGAGAAAATTTCTTCAAGTTAAAAGTTATACCAATGCTGTTCATCTCTGGGGGAAACAACAGGAGAGAGAACAAAGCAAAGAAGCTGGTGCCACCCAAAAATATTCTTAAAGATTTGATTACACAAAATAAGTCAAGAGCAATCCCTAACCTTTTGGATTAGCATTTATGCAGCCAAAGAGTGAATAAGAGGTAACAAGCCTTTATTTTAAAGCTTTAAAGTCATGAGCAATAGTTCTGTATTTCAATAAAGATATTTAAAAATCTAGTATCTAATGCTTTCTACATTTTCTACCTATTAAAATCAACTGGGGCCGGGGGCAGTGGCTCATGTCTATAATCCCAGTACTTTGGGAGGGTGAGGCAGGCGGATCACGAGGTCAGGAGATCGAGACCATCCTGGCTAACACGGTGAAACCCCGTCTCTACTAAAAATACAAAAAATGAGCCAGGCATAGTGGCGGGTGGCTGTAGTCCCAGTTACTCAGGAGGCTGAGGCAGGAGAATGGTGTGAACCCCAGCGGGGTGGAGCTTGCAGTGAGCTGAGATCAGGCCATTGTACTCCAGCCTGGGAGACAGAGCAAGACTCCGTCTCAAAAAAAGAAAAAACAAAAGTTAGCCGGGCGTGATGGGGGGTGCCTATAATCCCAGCTACCCCACCCAGGAGGCTGGGGAGGAAGAATTGCTTGAACCCGGGAGGCAGAGGTTGCAGTGAGCCGAGAAGATTGTGCCATTTGCACTCCAGCCTGGGAGACAGAGCAAGGCTCCATCTCAAAAAAAAAAAAAAAAAATCAACTGAAAGTCAAGACATCTTTCTAAAAGCAAGACTGCTTCACCAAAACAGATTATAAAGAAAAATGTATCTAACAATTCAATAGGGCAAGAGACCCCACAGAAAGGAAAATTAGATTTCCTATTAAGGTGACGGGTTTAATATTCTATTTCTTCTTGTGTAGTAATATTAACATCAAGACAATTTTAATACGGAAATGCCAATAAGAAAACCCTAAGGTAAGAAATGAAGAACAGCTTAGCAAATCAGTAGCTATTTTCAAAAGATGAATCAATGTGTGAGAGACATCCTTCTGTTTCAGCATCTTTATGAGAAATGCAGAAATGAACTCTGCAATTCAAAAATAAGCAGGGTTTCCAATTCACTGGTGACAAGAAAATGAGGTTTAAAACACCAGTTTCCGGATCAAACCTGCCTGGTCACAATGACTTTCTTCCTCTGTTAGATTTTAAAAACAAACTTACTCAAAGGTGCTTTCCCAAATTTATTTTCCTAACTTCTGTTCCTCAGTATTACTAGCTCCTTCTGCTTTTGTAAGTTTAAAAAGTGGGAAAACGGCATTCCAGTGTAAAGCCACCACCGTCATTCTAAGACTCGAGGCCATTTGTTTCCTCCTGGCTTTACTGTACTATAAGCTGAGATTGAGGGCTTTGAGTGAACTTTTTAACAGTTAACTAAGATCAGAAAAGGAACATGTCTTCCTACTCAGTTCCGAGTTACTTTGTTTTTAAATAAAACTCTTTAAAGAAATAGTGAACTGATAAGCTGGCAGGGTTCCCAAAGTTTTCAACATAAAACTTTTTGAGAGTAAAATATCAAAATAAACACTCGGGTACACTTCCTAAAATTTCTTCCTCCTCTCTCATTTTTGGCTTTCATCTTCGCAGCTTCAGGGAAGCAAGCATTAACCCCGCCTCCTTTTCTCCAGTGATGGTGCTACGCGTGCTCTACCCCCTGCTGCTTCTGTGCTTGGGACGGTACTGCCTCGGCAAGCCGTTCTTCCTGCAGGGCACTTGGTGGACGTGTCTCGGTTTGCCATGGGGCTTCCCTCACAATCAGAAACTTCCCATTCTCATAACTGGTCCTTTCTGTTTCCCTGCTTACGAGTCTCTGTTTCCGGTGACTTTGGGGAAGTCAGAGGGAGAAAAGTCGTAACTTCATACCCAGATCTGGGGACGCATCCACATCTCACCTTGTCCTGGGAGTCCTGCCTGCATGAGGCATCTGCCTTGCAAGAGCCTCCTTAACAACCACCTTGCAGCCAGAAACTCCCACAGACTTAAGACTGCAGGGTACAGGATTACCCTCCACCCTTGCTGACACATGCCCTTCAGCTCCATCATCACACCTTTTTATGAAAAAGGAAAAACCAAGCCAATTATATGATTTAAATATAGCACAGCAGCAGGCATTCCCTCCAAAATTCACTCTTAAAGCTCTGACCCCTTCCACCGGGCAATCTATTCTAACGAAGAGACCGGCACACTTACTACAGCCCATTTCTGCTGTAAGGCAACATCTGTGCTCCTAAACATGACCGCACTACGCAAAAATTCAACAATAAAAGCAGGGTCTCTAGCAAAAATGGAGTCACAGAGACAGCACTCAAGACTTTGTCAGTGACACATCAAATGAAAATATTAACTACATCAAATGGTTAAGAAATGCAAAAAAAAACACTGCACTTTACCTTGAAAAAGACCTGCAGTGAGCTTGTGGAGGTCAGAGGGTTACAGCTTGTGAGTTACTGTGAAGTGGGGGAAGGAGGGCAATCTTAGTGGAAGGGAAGCTTGCAATACCAGCTGTGGACGGCTGTGACCCACAGTGAGAGGGAGGCGCTGGTGAAATCGGGGGTGTGTGTGTTGTGTGCTCCTACACAACTCCACAGTATTCTGTAGTCACGTAGTATTTCTCAGGGATGAAATCACACGTAAGCAAACATGAAATTCAGGTTAAGCTCCCATTATTCTGATAGATCAGTGGCACTGGAATAAATGTATATTTTCAACATAAGCATTATAGCGGAAGTGACTGTGTTCAAGGTTATTCACTGCACCATCGTGGACAGTGGGTCCATCAAAGGAGAACTGGCTAAATACATGCATGCACTCATACAAGATGCCATGCTGCTATAGAAATGGAGGGAAGATCTCAATGCACTGATATGAAAAGAACCATAACCACTAAGTGGAGAAAGTACTGGTACACAAAATTATAGACGGAAGCTGTGTTCTGTATTAGAAGAATGAGAACATATATGCACGTATGCTAAACAGACTTCAAGATAAGAAACTTAGGAGTTAAAACTTCACCATATTCCTTCATGTTGTTTAAATT